ATATATAGTTATACGGTAAATACTATAATATTCTATCGAATGCATAGTAATTGTCCCAAAAAAAAGAAAATAAATCAAAACTCAACAAGCGTACCAGTACTATTATATTGATAATTATATTTAATTACCCTATATATACTATAATCAAATAATATAAATTTGAATGACATTGATATATATAATCAAATAATATAATTTAATACTTGATTAATAAAGACCATTGACCTATTTAGATATAGTAATCACAAGTTGGCCTGAAAAAGTCTTTGGTTAGGAACTATGAAGACTAAATAATTTGAGAGCCTTCACAACCGGAGATGTATTTGGACCACCATATCCCTCCCTCAAAATCGATATCAAATAAAATAAATGATCCAATGATGCCTTTGCAAGTCTTGGAACATGGGATTATTGGGATTTTAAAAACTCAGGTCAATACCTTTGATTTTAATAATTTGGAAAATGCTGCAAATGAAGACATCTTGAGACATTTGTATATTCCATCTCTTAGGTTGTCTAACAGCAACTACTTTTCTTTGCAAAATATTTTTCATATTTATAATTTTAAGAAGTAATAAATATTTTTTTTTCATATTTATCTTTTATATATGATCAATAATTATTAATTTAATTTAAATAATTTATTAATTTAATTTAGTATTTCTTTTAAAAAAATGTTAATAAATTAAATCAAGGTCATAATATAAATACAATTTTCCTCATATTAACTTTTATTATAATTTAGACAATTTGGAATAATAGTTTGGTTTAAGGGACTTGAAACTTCGGAACCAGAGGACATACTAGTTACAAGCGATATCTATATATTGTATCGTATTCTATTGCCCAATAGACCATTTGAATTTCTCTTAAAATTCAAGTTACTTTTTCATCGCGCAACTTATCTATTCCTTTCCCTTGTGAAAAATTATTTTAAAAAAGAAAAAAGCAAAAAATAATATAATAGAAGAGGTATATAAAAATAGCAATAACCGTATGATTGAATGGAATTATCTTAGAATCTTTACATTTAGGATCCAGGTTCCCTAGTACATTGACAGCCTTAGATTGATAATAACTAAACATAAAATTTACATTAGTTTACTTTTCACTTGGACAACTCATCTGTTCCTTAAAAACAAATCATTTCAAATAAATAATTTTTTCCGTTGTTTGGTCTGTAATATTGAAAATTAGCTTAAAATATTTAAATTTTTACTCTAATAAGACCATAAAAAATATAAAATAATGAAATTTTATTTTATAATTTAAAATTAGTTAAAAATATTAAATTTTTTATCTCATAAGACCATAAAAATATTAATAATAATAGAAATTTTATAATTTAAAGATTTTGTTATTAAATATGAAAAGAATGCAAATATATATATATATAAAATTATAAAAGCCATCGGTGGTGGTGGTCGGTGATAAAAGGTGACTGGTGTTAGTGACTGTGATGATTAATAAATTAAAACAAAAGATTTATAAAGTTTGCTAATATTTGGAAAATGTTTTACTCTTATGAGAATGAGAAGTTTTTTTTCTTAAAAAATGACTTAATTTTCCATTGACTATGGAAATATTTTCGTTGAGTTATTTTCTTAAATGTCCCAAACAACGGAAAATTGTGGAAAAATATTTTTCTACAAGTTATTTTATGAAAACAAAGTCTTTAAATTTATTACATCTTAATTTCATACGTAAAACTTTGTAATCAAACTAAGTTTCAATTGCATACAACAGCTTAGAAAAACATAATACGTGATTGACCAATTAATATTTGGTACAAAGTTGAAAAATCCACTTAGTAAGAGGAGACCTTAATTAAATTAAATAGCAACTTGCATGATTCCATTCTCCTGTAGTTGATTTTTGAGTAATTAAAGACTCTTAAAATCTTAACTATGCTTGATGACCTATACATGATAGCTAACTATATCTACTCCTAGCTAACAGAAGTTGTAATATTAATGCAACAATTATTTTATGTTTATATGTTATTTTTTTATTACAATAAGCTAATACCATTGACTAACTTTCACATATTCTATGTTGATAGATCAGAATGTAATAGAATATCATGAAATTAAATATTTTTCTTATACGCAATTACCATCTTTATATATTCACCACAGGTTGAAGGTTGTGTTCGATAAAAACTTTTTAAGTAGTCAAAATGCTAAACGCTATTATTTATAGTATTCGGTAATATAATGTTTGAACTAGCTTTTAGAGGTTAAAGTAGCGTTTTATAAAAAGTCAATTTATGTGACGTTTAACTTTTAGTATTTTATGAAAAGCTACCCGAACAACTAACAACTCAACGCTATTAAAATAACTAAAAACTACCAAAACAACTAATTTTGCCGAACAGACTCGAAGTCGTGCATAAACTCCATGTCGTGTACATATTATTCCTAATTAGTTAAGGACATGATCTTTTATTTTTTTTGAATCCAATGATGCTCGGATGCCACAAAATATACATCTTCTTTTTATTATAAAAGTTGTCTAGACCCGGTTTATTCATCCACTCTATACATTAAATAAATAATTAAGAGTCATAAGTTGATAATATTTTATTTTTTTTCTTAATAATAAATTTATAAATACCCTACTGTAAATTAAATATTTTTATTAAATTGATTTAGTATATAAATAAACTCATATGTCTGAAGTTGATAGTAATTTTTACATTGATGAACCTATGGCTCGCTCTTGTATGACTTATAATGACAGATCATTTCTCATCCACAGACATTTTAATTCTTGACTATATCAATCAATATTTACAACAAAATATTTTTTAATTAATATTTCACAGGCATTGAACCATCTATCATTTCTGTATTTGGTTATATTAGTAATATAAGTACCAATGTGAAAAGCAACGTCAGTTGCAGGAGCAACAATGTCATAAACACACAGCGTGTTAAAGAAGCGTATTGACCGGAAACTTGACAATGATATAAAAAAACACAACCGTTGACACTGACCCACAATAACTCGGCCACCGGCCAGCGGATCTAAGGCGTCACCAGCTGCAACTTTGACCATTAACTATATCAGTAAGTCACCTTGGTACGAACCTTCAAAGATAGTTCTCCTCTAATTTTTATATATGACGACTGTCCGATAATTTAGCTCTCTCTCTACACTTATATATATATATATATTCTCCATCTGTATCTTAACTGGTAACCTTTGAAGTTAGATATTTTTACTACTATTTTAATAAAATAATTATACAAAATAAGTTGAGTTGTTGACATTTTTGTATGTCTGCGTAATGGACAGATAAATTATAGACTGGGATTTGAATGTATTAATTATTTTTATTTAATAATATATGAAGTTAATATTAATAATTAGTTAATTGAATCATGTGTAGGAGACTTTTTTAGCTTTCGATTATATATAAGAAGTAGCGATAGACAGGTTGCAAGTCATTAAGAAAAGCTAATTAACAAGATTAAATTAGCTCTGCGACAATGGCTAGTTGTGGTGGTGCAGTTACTGTTCGTCATCATTTGGTTAGCCAAGAAAAGGGTTTCATCAGTCAAGAAACTAATGATAAGGTATTTATTTATTTTTAGTAATGATTAAAGTTTCTGATAAATCTATGGCTTAATAGAATTATTTTGATCTTACAATTTTTATTACTTGATACAGGTTGGAGAACTGCAGGATCATGGTTTGAATGTGAAGCCATCTTTATCAAACAATGAGGACTCAAGCAATAATAACAAAGAGGTAAGTTAGTTTATTATCGGATTATCAGAATCTTGAATTGTTTCTTCTGCTATTATTTGCTATCAGATCACAGAGAAAGATTTTTTTAAAAAAATTTAATGTTAATTACTATTTCTTTCTTCTGCTACTGTTTACGATCAGATCATCAGAACCTTGAATTGTTTTTTTCCTCTTTTAGGGAATGTTTGGTTTAATTCGGAATCGAAATGGAAGTCTAAATTTAAAAAGAAAAATTCACAAATTTGTTTCCTTTTTCAATAACTAATTTTTGTTTGATAAATTAGTAATTGCACTAAAACATATTTTTCATTTCGACCTATATTCAATTATTCAGATAAAAAAATAGTGAATAACTAGCTAGTTTTTCATACACAAATATACTAGCCAAGATCCATATTTTTAAAATTTAATTATATAGTTCATCGATCTTATCTTAATTATACTACTTAATCTTTAATTCAGTAATTGCATAAAAGATAATAGTTTTCATTTTAACCTTTATATTCAAAGGTGATTTCAAATTTTATTGTTCCCATTGTAGCTTTTTGTTCTACAGATCAATAAACATGAAAAATTCTTGATAAAGTCATCCTCTCCTAATAATGTTTTCTTGATTTAGGAGGATGTATTGGAGTCTGCAAAAGCCGAAATGGGAGAAGTGAGGGAAGAAAACGAGAGACTGAAAATGATGTTACAACAAGTAGAGAAAGATTACCAATCACTTAAATTACGTTTCTTTGACATTCTTCGAAAAGAAACTTGCAAGAACACAGCAGAATCTCCATTGGGTTGCGAAACCGAAGAATCTCATGAGCTTGTATCACTTTCTCTAGGAAGAAGTACTCCAAGTGAGCCTAAAAAAGATGAGAAAAATAGTAACCCCAGCAAAACTAATAATCATGATACAGAAAATGAAGACTTGAAGGCTACCTTAACCCTTGGCTTATCAGACACTAGTTCAAAATTTCATATGTCTAATGAGCCTGTGTCTAGTAATCCAAGCCCTGAAAATAGTGTAGAAGAAGAACAAGCAGGGGGAGAAACATGGCCACCAAGTAAGATTAATACAAAGAGAAACACAATTGATGATGAGGCTGCACAGCAAAGTAATGCGAAAAGAGCTAGGGTTTGTGTAAGAGCTAGATGTGATACTCCTACGGTTAGTATTATTTTGATCAGTTTTTATTTGTTTAACATTAATTTTTGTTAATATAACTTGTTATTTAATCTTGGATTAGCTATAGAAATGTGATATATATGGGATTTTATTTTTTATTAGATGAATGATGGATGCCAATGGAGGAAATATGGACAAAAGATTGCAAAAGGAAATCCATGTCCACGTGCATATTATCGCTGCACAGTGGCACCAGCCTGCCCTGTAAGAAAACAGGTTAGTAAATTTTAATTTAAAGGTTTAACTCAGTATTGTTCCCTATTTTATTAATCAAGACTCAAGATTTTTTTTTTCTCATCTATGAATTCTCTAATCTTGGTTTGAATGGTTTGAGGGGAATAAAAAAAGAAATTATCACAAATCTAGAGCATGAAACCCTATAGATATCATGTAGAAGTAAATTACTTAATCCTTAAGGAGGATTATAGAAAATACAATTTCTTAAATACATAGATATCTCAAGATATGTCAGTGAGTTTGCACAACTATTGCATTTCACTATAAACATTGCAATTTGCAGCCTCTAGTACTGTTTTTAAAGTGTATCCATGGGAGTAAAATGAATATTTCACGTGCATCAAATTTTGAAAACATTTAATTCCAGATTAATTATACAAAATTTCATTGAATTCATTTATATTATATAAGGTTCAATAGTTTGTATAATATATCGCGTCTATGAGATTCGTTCTTTATAATTTCAAGTTCATCCCACTTATTTATAAATACACATGCACACACATATATATAGAAGGTGCATTATAATATTGTATATCTACTTCATAATTAAGAACATAAAAATAACTTTTCAAAAAATGCATGAATTCAGGTACAAAGATGTGCAGAAGACATGTCAATCTTGATTACAACCTATGAAGGAACACACAACCACCCACTTCCTGTTTCAGCCACAGCCATGGCCTCCACAACCTCAGCGGCTGCTTCCATGTTATTATCAGGCTCTTCTTCTTCCTCATCACATCAAGGCCTAATTAGTTCTCAAATTCCTTTAACTTCTACTTCTCAATATAACCAACTCAATGGATTAAACTTCAGTAATGCTGTTTATGACAGTTCAAGAACAAAACAAATTTATTTAGCAAACCCTAATTCCTGTCCTCTTTTCCCAACCATTACTTTAGACCTAACTTCCTCAGGAGGATTCTCTTCCACCTCTAAATTTCCTGCAACAAGTCTTAACTTTTCTTCATCAGAATCTAACCTATCAGCAATATGGGGAAATGCGTATCAAAATTATGGATCCTTAAATTCCACAAATAAACAACAATTGTCTCAGTTACCCTATATGGAAAATAATCAACAGGCATTAACAGAAACCCTAACTAAGGCAATAACATCGGATCCGAGTTTTCGGACAGTTATAGCTGCAGCTATATCATCAATGATGGGTAGTAGTTCCAGTGTAAGTCCAAGTTCAAGCTCAAGTCAGTTAGGTGAGGCTAATGGAAAAGGTTGCGGCTCAAGTTATTTCAGTGGATTGTCTTCTTCAAGTTCTCAAATGGGAAATATTCTTCAATCTTCTTCTTCATTGCCTTTTTCAATCTTTAACAGTGCTTCTATGCCTGCTAATGTTAAAAAGGATCAGAAGAGCTGATAAATTAAAGTACTATATTATACATAGTAGCAGTTAATTAAAGTACAAGAAAGTGGCATATAAGAAATTAGCAGGAAAGGTTGATTGCTGTTTTCTTCTCTTTAATTGATATGCTATTTTGCTTTTGGGTTTTTGGATGTTAATTAATTAAATTATGTTTACCAATTAGATTCCACAAAAAATATCTAAGTGTACAAGTCCTTTTTTTTTTTTCTTTTTGTTAAAAAAGTGTACATGTAATTTAATATTTATTTAAATTTTCTTTTTTCAATTAAACATCAATTGTTAATGGAGGAAAGCAAAGTTTTAAATTCAGATTCAATTAGGATTGCAGAATCAATGTTGATGTTCTTTTAGTTTATCAAGTGGAGATGCAAACTAAACCATTGCTTTAGATTGCTATATTTAAATTAATTTTATGAAATTCAATTCATTCAAATATAAGTTAATGTATAACCAATTAACAGCATGGTCTGAGATTAAAGAAAAACTTTTATTGTAAAAAGTACGACATTGTTCATAAATTGCAGGATGCTGTCCTTAACTAATTTGAGGACTTGTTTCAGTCTAACCAATGAAATTATTCCTTTCACCAAAAAAAAAAAAAAAAAAAAAAAAAAAAAACAAAAAAAGAAGGTGAGAGAGATGATTGATGTCTTTTTTTTTTTTTTTTCATTATTCATGTTATTGACAATTAGAAATTCATTGAGACTGACGGGCTGAAGTTTGCAGCATCGCCTTTAACAGGGCATGGTAGGGCCCCAAGATCATGGTGAGTCTTTCCCCTATATGGATATGGAAATATATAAAACTTCTCTACTGACTCAATATAAACTAAACATAATAAAAATAGAGATTTTTTAAAAAATTAATTTCCATTTTTATCTTTTTTTTTCATTAGTACATGGTTAGAAATTCTCTTATTTTAAAAAAAAAAATTTTTTTTTTTTTTTTTTTCATTATTATGTTATTGAAATTAGATTCATTGAGACTGACGGGCTGAAGTTTGCAGCATCGGCCTTTACAGGGCATGGTAGGCACCAAGATCATGGTGAGTCTTTCCCTTATATGGATATGGAACATATATAAAACTTCTCTATGAGCTCAATATAAACTAAAATAATAAAAATAGAGATTTTTAAAAATTATTTCAATTTTATCTTTTTTTTTTCTAGTACATGGTTAGAAATTCTCTTATTTTGAAAAAAAAAATTTATTCATTGATTTAGTCTATAATTAAGCTCAGCATGATGAATTTAAGTAAATCATTCTTATGAAATATTTTACAGTTAAAATTGTACAGAAACAAACTTAACTAAGTCCCACACATTAAATAGGAATACGGTGGTCAAACCATGCTGTCAAAAATCAATCCAAAAGTCAAAATATATTACTTTTTCCAATAAGTAAACAAATATTGAAATACATTACTCTTATGTCATGTAATTAAAAAATATAGATCATGAACCAACGAATGTTAAAATGAGTGGTTCGACACTCTTATTCCTTAGATCGAGAGTTCAATGCTCCATCACAAGGAACACTTTAACCCTTAGTAGGCCGATTTAGTGCGATATTTTCATTGAATAGTTTACTACAAGAAAATATGTATTTTGTTTTAAAGGAAACAACCAAATTTAGAGATAAAAAGAAAAATTACTACTCGAAGAAGGTTTCAAACTTGAAAATCAGTACAATTATATGATGTTCTAGTCAAAGAGTGAGCAATCGGATTAGCTTGCCTCTGAATTCACCTAGTAGTGACATCAGATCTGTTAGTTAATACCACCAAAGTCAGAAAAAGTCCATAGAACTAGAACATGACGGATAGTTTTCTATGGATATTAGCAACGGAACCAAAGTTAGAAAAAATGGAACCAAACTCAGAAAAAATCCAAAGAACTAGAACATGACTGATAGCTTTCTATGGATATTAGCAACAGCGACCGAAAACATTAAAATTGAATTTTAAAATTAGAAAAGTTTATATAATTATAGCAATAAAATTAGCGATTAATTAGAATTCTAATAGTAATTGAAGGCATCTAATTTTTTACTATTTAGCGACAGATTTGAACTCCTTTAGATAAATACACGATAAGTTCATGTCTATTTTGATATTCAGCCATCAAATTATCTACTAATTACTGATAAATTATCGATGGATTAGCAATGGGGTTTAGAAAAAAATTTTACATTTTAAGAAACATAAATGGGTAATAAAAGCAAAATTTATAGACGATTTATTAATTAATTAGCAATAAGTTATTGCTAATCCGTTAGTATTTAGCTACGGACTTGGGGAGAAACATTTAAAATATTACATGGAATAAATCGGCAATATCCTTATCACCCTCCTTTCTTCTTCCTTTCGTCAAACAGAAATCTCAAATCCATTTTCTCTCTTCAAAATGTTTCCCTCTCTCATCAATCTCATTCTCCTCCTTTGTACATCCATTTGAAACTGAAAGCTTATGAATGATGTTTTGGTTTAATTATGGTATTGTCAAAATCAGGGGCTGAGGAAGGGGGACTGAGGGGAGACCGGCCCTTTAAACTCAAAAATTTCTTTAAAATTTTCTCCACTTTGATCCCCCTAACTTTTAAAATACTTGTTTTGACTTCCTCAAATTCTAAAGTCTAGCTCTGTTCCTGGTTTCATTTATGTTTCATGTAATGATATTATTTATAAACTAATAGCAATAATATAAGAAAAAAAAATAGAGAAATAACTTCCCCATGGTAGATTCTAGTTATTCTTCTAGAAATTAGCTTTTCAGGGATATAAACTAATCATTAGGAGAACATAAGAAACATTTTAAAGCTACTAATGAAAAAGTCTTTTCCATAAATCCTAGAACTAAGAAACCAATTGGCATGTAATTCTTTCCAAATTGATTGTTTGGAAAAGAGTTCTTGGTTCTAATTTTTCCGTTGAAAACATTTCTATTGGATGTGATGTTTATAAATTAGCCAAGCATCTTCATATATCCTAAAGTATTTAAGTATAAAAGACTTCTCAAACTTTAGACTTTAGTGCCTAAGAAGTTTTCTTTGGCAGAAGTTCTGGAATCTTTTGAAGATTTAATGCTTAATTTTCTCATCCAACTCCACTTTGGAAAAATCAAGATTTCTTCGTTCAGTTGCCTTCCAAATTGAATGAAGGTGTAAATCATTCTAAAGCTTATGAACCACTTAGATCTGCTTCTAGTACAACAAGGGTGCTCTCAGTTACTCCAGCAAGGGATTATTTTACTAACAAAATCTGAATAGCCATGTCAAGCATTTTTCAACTCTCCAACAAGAGGGAGTACGATATTACAGTCAACGCGCACCGGTGAGCATTCAACCAATTCGATCGATTTAAATAACATTTTTAACTGATTTTTTTTTTTTTCACTTAACTGAATATAATTAAACTAATTTTTTAACCAAATTAAATTAAACCGTTTTGATCAAATTAATTTTGATCATTAATTGAACCGAAATTAATGAAAATGAAAACTTAATTAACTAACCGAATTTAATCAAAATTTATAATTAACCGATTTTGATTAACCAAACTTATTAATCACTAATTAATCAAAATAAAAATTAAAACATTTTTAATTTTTAATTTTATCATCTACTTATCAAAACACCGTAGTTTTAAGAGTTAATTAATAGTTGAAGTTCAAATATTTTAAACATAAATGTTTATATTTGAAAATACTTAAATAAATAAATAAATAAATAACTAAAACATGCCGAATATATCAACAAAATAGTAATAATTGAAAATTCCACCAAAAATTCACAAAACCATAATAATTGCCTCGACCTCACTAACTAATGATTTCAAATTTATTGCATGGAACTTATTATGCATGGATAACATGGAAAACCACTATTTTTCAGGCAGAAAAAGAAACAAAAATGATTGATTCTGCTAGAATTATTTTTTCCTTACAAAACAACCTCCATTGATACATTAGATAGAAGGGCAGAATCAATTTATCGCTTTTGGTATTTCCTAGTCTTCACTTCGATTTGCTCCTTCTTTAGTCTCCAACAAGAGTTGCATCCCGTGAAAATTCACGGATGAACGGTGGTCAAAAATAAAAATTAAAGGTTGCTTTCTATGATACAAAACTGCAAGAAATTCACAAAATTGCAGAGATACTGTCAAACATATGAAACAAATCTGCAAAAGAAAAATTCGCAGTTCCATACTGAAGTTTAGAACTTACCAACATTGCCATAAATATGGTCAATTAGACATGTCTCTATGACACTTTCAACAGTTCATGGAAAGCCTCCTGTGGTATATCAACAGAGCCAACACGCTTCATTCGCTTCTTGCCTTCCTTTTGTTTTTCCAAAAGCTTCCTTTTCCGAGTAACATCCCCACCATAACACTTTGCAAGAACATTCTTTCTCATAGCCGAAATACTAAGAACCAGCATGAAGAGGATTAGTAAAGAGATGACAGTGACCAATAGTCATGCTCAAATGACCAAGAAAAGCACTCTCCTTTGGAAAAAGAGAGATGGTTAAGAAAAAAAAGATATCAGTTTACTGCTTTTGCCGTGAAGAAATTATCAAGAACTGACGCGGTAAACTCTTGGCACAAAAATAAGCTAAATATTACTTACGTTTCTCTTGCAATAATCTTTGCTCCAATAGCTGCTTGTATAGTTATCTCAAACATTTGCCTGTTCAAAATATGAAAATCACACAACTGGAGAACAAAGAAATTATAATACAAGACAGAAACAAAACTTAAAATTAAAAACCTATCAATGAACTTCTTCAGCTTCTCCACCAGCTCACGACCAACTCGTTGAGCCTTCAAATTGTGAACAATGGTTGCCATAGCATCAACTGGTTGTCCATTTAAGAGGATATCAAGTTTAACCAAATCAGCTTCTTGATATCTGTAAATGAAATCCATTTAATTTGTTAAAGGTGAGGTGAAACTAAAAATATTCAAAAGTTCTCATCAAAACATAGATAACGACCACCTCCTTAATAAAAACTTTAATTCAATAACCTATGACTAGGGTTGAGCACACAACAGTTTTAACAGAAAAACCAAACCAAACCAAACCAGTCTAATTCAATTATTTGGGTAATCTGCTCGGTTTGGTCAATAAACTGATTTCAGTTCGGTTTTTGGTAAAGAAAATTGGTTCAACCAGACTGAACCAAAATATAAGACTACATTGTTTGGGACCTTTTAATTTTAGTAGGGCTTAGTTTTGGTTGTCCAAGCCTCCCTTCCTCTAGCTAGCATCTGTCTTCTTCTAGAATCTCCTGTCAAGGAGACGGAGGGGCCCAAAGTGCAGCAAAGAAGAGAATGGCCTAACAAGGAGATTGTAGAAACAATCCCAGCCGCATAAAACACCAGAATCAAACCAAGAACCCAAGGCATCAATATAAACCCAAGCAAGAATGTCAGGGATCGACAAAGCATCACAGCCAACAAAATCCCCACCATCAAAGTCGAAAATCCCACTGGCAAGATCTGATCTGAATCGGTGCTCATGACCTCCTCCACGATGAATAAGACGACATTGACAGAGATTGGTCAGAGAAAGGATGTGACAGCAGTGAACAAACCAGGTTGAGAAAGGGACAAAAAACGCCAAAGTTCCTTAGTCTCTTTTCTATATACATCCCCACTCAAATCTCACCATAAAAATTTATAATACCAATCCACAACCATCACAAGAACCCAAAATCAAGCATTCAAATAAAAAACAACAAAGAAGAACAAAAAACCTAGATTCAAGACGAACGAAAACAGCATAATTTACAGTGTCCTGAACCTATGAGATCCATTAATATGCCTCTTGGTGCAGTAAAAGAATCAGAAATGTAGGAAAAAAAACCCTGACAGTACATTCCATCAGCTACCTTTTCTTGATCCCTTTTCATTTTCTTCTTCTTTTCATTAATTGATTTTTTATTGCATAACAGATTGATGGATTGAGAGATTTTGAGTGTTTATAAGACCTAATGCCTAGTGGTGAATTTAGTGATAAAAATTCTGTGGATAAATTGATGATGAAGAGGATTTGGAATTAAAATGAAGACAATTAAAAAATAAATTAATTAAATCTAGTAAAGGCCCTTCCTTCGGCCAGTTTTTCTAGTGATTTTCCTTCTTTTTTTTTGCATGACTACCAAAACTAATTAAACTAAACAGGACCAAAATATTTGGTTTGTGCAGTTTGGTTTCCGATTATAGCTTGGTTCGGTTTTCAGTTTTGTTTCACCGATTGCACACTCCCACCTATGACCTTGAAACAATAATCCTAATATGAGCAGCTGAAGAAATAAAATAAGCAACAAAAAAGAGCAATTTCTCTGTGCAGTAATTGTCACATGCATTTAAGGGAAATATATTTGTGGCCAAAATCACCCATTCTGACATGTTACAGGAAGCTCAAAAAACAACAGCACTTTCTATGGTAACAGTATCACATTCACCTATTTGGTGGCATCACCTTCGTCTAAGGAAATGAGCTTAAGACTGTGTTTTGTGGATGTTGTGTTTGAGAGAGAGAGAGCATACGTACTCTGAATCTTCATAGTCAAATGATGCATATCCTGATGTTATACTCTTCAACTCATTGTAAAAATCGACAACAATTTCCCTCAAAGGTAGACAATACTTCATAAAGGCTCGTTGGCTTCAAAGATGAGAATTAGAAAGATTACTACTCTTATTTTGAATTATTATATACAATGGTAAATACTCAGTACATGAAAGGCAGTTAATTAATACCCATAGTTATCAATTCAACCGCCAGAATCGACAACCAAATTTGATTCGCAGATGGGCATATAAAGTACCTGTCGATAAATGAATACTCCAATTGCTGCCCTCTCCTGTCAGAACATAGGGTAATGACGGGCCCCACATACCTTAAGTGGAAAAGTGAAAGCCGGACAAGTTAGCACTTAGCATGCTAAAAAAAGAAACAAGTCATCGTTCACAGAGAGTATGACAGTGTGAGCGCTTACTCACTAGGGATGATAATTGTAGCTATGACTGTAGGTTCCCAACTAGCTGTAACTCGCTTCTTAGGATTTGAAGGCAACGCAGCAGGATTCTGAACTTGTACTTTGCTAGCAAAGCAACAACATAAATTGTTAGGAAAAGCATATGGGCAGCATTAGAAATTAGCAAGACAAGGACATACCTTCCATCAGAATACTCAAAAATATATGGAACAGTTGGAACTGTGGAAATAACATGAGCTCCATACTCCTGTCATCCATTTGAAGATAGGTTGTGTAATTTGTTAGCAATGCCATTTTCCAGTAATTATGCTCTCCAAAAATTAGGCATTTACTACTTCCAACAATAATAACATTATACTACGTCAAACAAAACAATTTGATTTTTCTGCTACAGAAAATCACAAAAGAGGGAAGCATCACCTGTTCAAGCCGCTGATGAAATACATCCATGTGAAGTAAGCCTAAGAAACCACACCTATATATAAGACCAGTAACCACAAAATGTCACTGCATATGAAACTAAATGGAGGAGAAAAAAAAAACTTTGCAAAAAAGCAAAGCACATATCAACGTCATTCAGTAGTTGGATATGCACCTAAAACCCAGACCAAGTGCAGAACTACTCTCTTTAGTAACAGACACGCTGGCATCATTGCATGTCAATCTCTCTATTGCATGGTTAAGCGCATCAAAATCGGATCCATCAGCTGGATAAAGACCCGAGAACACCATATGTTTTGCAGGCTTAAAACCTAAAATTAGAGAATTACAAATAAAAGTAATATTAGGAATAGGATGTAAAAACTTTATTATTAGCCAATAAATCCTCCTTCCCCTACCTCCGAACTCCCACTGTTTACCCGTACTTGTTTAGAAATGTGCTAGTCAACAGCTATGGATTGTGTGGCCTGTTTAAGTAACTTATGATGTAAATTATTTATACATCATGTATGCTAGAGTCACCACCAACATATAAAATATCGCACAGTTCATTTTCAGTTATATGTTTACACAATAATATTACCTTTTCCATTTGCTTTATACATCTAATCCTTATAAATGAGATTCTGAATAAAAAAATGTCAAACTGTGTGGACATCACAATTCTGGAAAGTAGAAAGGCAAATTCTTTCTCTATTGCAACAAAGAAAATCGAAGAAAATGTTCCTATAGGTTCAATTTCTCTGTAACAGTTCCCAGGTCAGATCAATTTATATATACGAATGAAAGAGGGTATTGCTTAGATTTTCCAGTCATTATAAACAAAAGATAAATAAGCATCATAGTAGCAAAAAGGGTGATGATTATATACCTGGCAGAGGTTCTACAATGCTTCGGCTATTATATAGAGTGTCTCCAACACGTGCTTCTTTGGTTGATCTCATGCCACTTACCATATATCCAACTTGTCCAGTTAGAAGAACTCCAGTTCGTGTCAGTTCAGGATGCATGAAACCAACATCCAGAACCTCATATCCTTGGCCAGTTGCTGCAGATGAAATCTTATCTCCCTTCCGCAGTGTGCCATCTACAACTGCAACATGGCAGATTACCCCCTTGTATTCATCATAATAGGAGTCCAGCAAAAGCATACGCAGTGGTGCATTACTATCCCCAGGAGGAGGAGGTATCCGGTCTATGACTGCAGGAAGGACTTGCTCAAGACCCTGCCCTGTTTTGGCAGATGTCAAAAGGCAATCATTAGGTTCAAGATCAAACATTGATTTTAATTGAGCTTTAACACGATCAGGATCAGCAGTTGGTTGGTCTATTTTGTTGATGACAGGAATTATTGTCAGATTTGATTCAAAAGCCAAATAGAAGTTAGCTACAGTTTGTGCCTGAACGCCTTGGGCAGCATCAACAACCAAAAGGGCACCTTGGCATGCTGCTAAGGATCTTGATACTTCATAGCTGAAATCGACATGACCTGGCGTATCAATTAGATTTAGCAGAAACGTTGGAGGTTCATGTGCATCACCAACATTCAGGCCATTAAACTTGTACTTGTGGAACATGGTAGCTGTTTGAGCTTTAACAGTTATTCCCCTTTCTCTCTCTACCTAAGACAATCCAAATTCCATCACATACATGCCATACAGAATTAAATTGACAAAAAGAATTTCAGTGTTGAAACCTTTCTACCCTGCAACTACAACAAAAAGTTATACAGTCGAGGCTGAACATGGATTGAATTTATGAAATTTCACAACAACTTGCTAGTTCAATGTTTTTTGCATTCAGAAACACCTATACATGGTTGTTAGATTATTTCAAAATTTTCTTATTTCATCAGTTTTACACTTCCATTAAGCATCTCTTATGAATGAAATTGCAATATTACTTTGGATAGGTTACAATACTTTCCAAATTCTACAACTCACATTGTAGTTTAAAATCAGGATACAAATAAAAACAACACTAACACTCCTGTAGTAAGGTGTTTGAACTGCATTTCACACACTTAAAGCAATCCAAATTCAAAATAATATCACTCTAAACAAATTATTGGAAAGGTCACAAGTTCCAAATGGTCAAAGAGTTTGTTTTAATCATACTCTGACACTCCACTAGCTTGAATGGTTTTAATCATTGCAATTCCATTTCAATTTCAATATAATGTTTCATCTCTCTCTTCTATGCTATATACTTTTCCCGTTAGGATTTAGTCATTTTGCGAATTTTACCCAATTAATCTTGAAAAGGACATTTTTAACCTCAAAACTGAAACTTCGTCTACAACAAACCCATCAATACCAGTACTTTAAAATTTTGGATTCTAAAAACTCCTGCTCTAAACATTAAATTTAAAAACAAAAAAACAAAAAAAGAAGACAAAGATCTTTTATTTCTTCAAAAACAAGAGAAAACCAGCAAAATGGTGTTTAAATACCTGCAATTTATCAAGGTACTGAGGCTGGCCATGGCCTTTTTTTATTGTTCCAGTGAGCTCCAGAAGCCGGTCAGCGAGCGTTGACTTGCCATGGTCGACATGTGCGATTATGGAGAAGTTTCTAATTCTCTCAGCTGGATACTGGCTCAAATCTATGCTGTTCTCCTTACTGTTATGGCGCGAATTGGAGCAAAAGGCACGCGTTAGTTCCGAACGATAGATTGGCCTGAATTTTGAATATGATTGTAGCAGAAACAGACATTTTGGTGATTTTAGGGCTTTTGAAACCCTGCGTAGAGAACCCATGTTGGGTTTCTGCTATAGCAGGCAATCGTAAGTAGCTGCTGTTGTGCTACCGTTGAGTTAAACCGCAACTTTGGTACAAAAACGACATCGTTGCCAATTCTAATTCAAAAATAATTATATATTAGTATTATTCATCAATTAAAACACATTAATCCAAATTGCAAAAAATCGGCAATAATTATTCTTCTTGAAGCCTGAAGTTGACATTTTTGGGTTTGACTTCCGATCGCCTAAACTAAATCTATAAACATTGGGATGCAGGATGCTCTCTTCAAAAAAAAAAAAAAAAAAAAAAAAATTAAAACACATTAATCCAAATTGGCAAAATCGGCAATATTATTCTTTTGAAGCCTGAAGTTGACATTTTTGGGTTTTGACTTCCGATCGCCTTAAACTAATCTATAAACTTGGGATCAGGATAAAAAAAAAAAAAAAAAAAAACATTGGGATGCTGACATCATTACAGTTGAATTTTCAAAGTTTGAGTCTTTGATTATTGCAAAATTAGTCACAATCTATAATAAAATGGAAAAAATGATAGACACAAGAAAGGGATTTTAAAATTCGTTCAGCCAATAGAGTATTTTGCATAGAAAGTGGTATCCTAAATTTCTACAAATTTATTATATATGTGTACATATATTTACCACTAGATTATATTTTAGTGTGCATTAAACAAGTGTTCTATTAATTGTAACGATAAATTATAGTATATTATATTTCAAATAAATTGAGAATTCTTAATAAATTAATTAATGAGAAAATATATATTTAAATAGAAAAATTTGTAAAAATAATTAGACTTTTTCCTGCTTTGAATGAAATAAATAACTATAATAACTAAATATATAAAAAAATAAGTAAAATAATATATATATATATATAAGAGAAATTTCTGGGATAACGTTGACTTCATTAAAATAATATATATATTAGATAACTATTTGGATGCGTGTGATAAAAGTCATTCTTCCCCGGCCTCAAACATCAAATGATGCATAATATATAACAGAAATATTAGTCCTTATAGTCTAAATACTCTTCTAGCATTTAATAAAGGTATCATTTCCATGGCAACTTCTGGCTCCTGCTCTCTTCTTGTCTTCTTTTTATGCACACTTTGTGCCTTCATCACTAATGGAACTAGAGCAAATTCAAATGTAAGTATTTACTCTCTCTTCGTTTTCTACCTACGTGTTTCCTATCTACATAGGGTTCTAAATGAGTCAAACCACTCGTGAGTTGCTCAAGATTCGACTCAATAAAAATTCATTTGATAAATTTATTGAGTCAAGCTATCAAAACTGTTCCATAAGTTTATCGCATTGAGCAATTGAACAATTTAGTAAACCAGCCAAGCTCGAGCTAGCATAGCTCATTAGCTGGCAAGCTAGATTTATTGAGTTAAGAGCGCAAACCAAAATTGAGTTGAGCTCTCAATAAGCAAAATTAATTAAACTTATAATAAAAAAAACAATGTCATTTTCATTTAATAGATTTCGAGTTTGAGATTGAAATCAAACTTGACTCATTTATAGTTATCAAGCCAAGATCGAGCTTGAATCAAGCATATTCTCATCGAGTCGAGGTTGAGCACCAAAGATTGGCTCAGCTCAGCTTGGCTTTATAGCCCTATATGTGAATTAGACTTGATTATGGATTGGGTTCAGGTCGGATTTTGTGACATCCAAACCCAATCAAGTCGAGTCAGGTTAGAAATAAATATAATGACTGAAAGGGTTTTTTTTTTTTTTTTTTTTTTTTTTTTTTTTTTTTTTTATAATCGAATCAGAGTAAGGGTTTTTTTTTTTTTTTTTTTTAATAATCGAATCAGAGTCGAATAAATTCAAATCCATATTATAAGTTTGATCTTACATGAAACTGGGTTTGTTGCAAGTTTGACCTTAAGTGGCAGTCATAAACTCTACTTTTTACTCACTTTTTTCTGCGTGGTTAAAGTTTCTAAGTTTTGGTTATTGTAAGTTTGATTTTATATGAAAAATGCGTTTATCATAAGATTTAAAATTATATTGAGAGAAGTTCAAATTTACCAATAATAACTATATTTCTCCAATATAATTTTAAATTGAATAAATGAAACTCATTCTCATATGATAACATATCTTAATTAAAAAAAAAAAATCAAATTTTAGTTACAAAGTCAAATTATATTTAGTAAACAAAATCAAATTTTGGCATATTTGCTAACCAATCTTAATCTTTTATTCTACAGTGGCAACCTCATTATTACAAGAGAGACAAAGCTACACAAAACTGGCTAAACCATGGTGGTGATTTACAAAATAGAAGATATGCAAATAAAGAGACCAAAATCAACCCTAAAACTGCTTCCAAGCTAGGTTTAAAATGGAAATTTTTGGCAGGTGGAGACATTTCAGCAACACCAGCAATTTTTAATGGAACCCTCTATTTTCCAAGTTGGAATGGTTACATTTATGCAGTTAAAGCATTTGATGGAAGTCTTATTTGGAAAAAGAATTTGCAAAATCTTTCTGGGGTTATTGCACCAAGCTTTTTGTCCTTGTTGAATGTGAACTCTACTGCTTCAAGATCAACACCTACAGTTGTAGCAGATGCTGACTTGCTTATATTTGGAACTTATGGGCCAGCGGTTGTTGTTGCTGTTAAAAGATCAACAGGAGACTTCGTTTGGGCTACTCAGGTTGAAACCCATTTGGCTAGTGTTATCACCATGTCTGGAACTTACTACAAAGGGTTAGTCAATCTCACGTTAATAATTAATTAATTAATTCATTCATCATCATCATCATTTAATTATTCTTCTTCTTCATCATCATTATCATCATCAAAATTAATTAAAACTAATTTTTTGGTTGATATGACCATTCGCTGGAAAAAAAAAAGGAATAGTTTAAAAAAATCTCTTCATTAATTTATTTGGTGTATGAGTAGTCCTACAGACGAGCTGTAGGCATAAAGTCTATTGTTAAAGTCAAAGTTAGAAGTGAGCAATTATCAGTTTCTAACCTAGAAGGGAATCAAACCGACTTATTGGTCGGATTTAGATATTTATTTTAGAAATTTGGTTACCGATCGGTTTGGATATGTAAGATAGTTTGATTTTCAATTTTTGGTTCAGTTACCATATATAACTAACTGAATTTATTTTTAGTTAAAAATAGCTAATTTAATTTGAAAAACCGAATCTAAATCGAACCAAATCAATTTAATTTGGTTTGAATTTGTTATTATATTATTCGGTTTCAGATTTAGATATCATAAAGCAAATGTGGATATACTGAAATCGAACTAATTCGGTTTGGTCCAATTTAGTTAACCGAATGCTAACCCCTAGCCAAAGTCAAATTTCATATAACTATATTTGTCTTCTCTGGGTGTTTTCATAGGCATGTATAATTATATTTTTGAACATTTCTCCATTCAATTCTAGGAGCTACTACATTGGAGCATCATCAATAGAGGAAGGTGCATCAATTGCTCAATGTTGCACATTCAGGGGCAGTTTCATAAAACTAGACCCAAAAACAGGCAAAATACTATGGAAAACCTACATGTTACCAGACAACTTTAACAAAACTGGAAATTATTCTGGAGCAGCTGTGTGGGGAAGCAGTCCATCAATCGACAAACATAGGAACCTCGTTTTTATTGCAACTGGTAATTTATACTCAGTTCCTCAACATGTTCGTGAATGCCAAGAGAAAGAAAATAATGCAACCAAGCCTACTCATTTGGACCAGTGTTTGGGTCCCGATATCCATTCAGAATCTATCTTGGCCCTTGATTTAGATTCTGGAAAGATTAAATGGTCTCATCAGCTTGGTGGTTATGATGTGTGGTTTGTAGCTTGCAGTATTATAAATTTTACATCTCCTGATTGTCCAATTCCTGGACCTAACCCTGATGCTGATTTTGGAGAAGCACCGATGATGTTAAACATAAAGGTCAATGGAAGTAGGAAAGATGTTGTTGTTGCTGTTCAAAAAAGTGGGTTTGCTTGGGCTTTGGATCGTGATGATGGCAACCTCATTTGGTCCACGGTAGTTGCTTTCAACTTTTTAAGTGCTTTTAATGCTTTGTTTAGGGGAAAAGAAAAAAAAAAAAAAAAAAAAAAGTTTAGGGAAAAGGAAAAAAAAAAAAAAAAAAATAGAGGCGAGACCTAATTCAGTAATTTTAGGGGAAAAAAAAAAAAAAAAAAAAAAAAATAGAGCGAGACCTATTCAGTAAAATTAGCCGTTTGGATAGCTGTTACATATTTTAATAGTTAGTAGCTGTTTGAATAACTTTTTTAAAAATTAAACTCTATAGGATTAACCTTTTATAAAATGCTATCTTAACCTCTAAAATCTAATTCAAATGCTATGTTATCGAACACTATAAAAAAAATCAGTATTTTAATTGGTGAAAAAGCTAAAAAGGTAATTCAAAAACTATTGTCGAATACAGGTTGAGAATGCAACAAGAGGGGTTAAAATCATAATAACGACTTTTCTCCTTTAAACCGACCTACTGCTAGCAGGATATAATCTTAACCCAGTAGATTGAGGATTCATGTAGTTAATAAAAAAATCAAAATAATGCAATTAGAATTGGGAGCTAACGATTCTTGGTTTTCAAAAACTTGAATGTAGGAAGCAGGACCTGGTGGCATTGGTGGTGGTGGTACCTGGGGAGCAGCCACTGACAAAAAGAGGATTTACACTAACATTGTGAATTCTGATGGTAAGAATTTCACTTTAAAACCATCAAACAAGACAACAAATAGTGGTGGATGGGTGGCAATGAATGCCCATAATGGCAAAGTTCTATGGTCTGTACCAGATCCTAGCAATGCTTGGGCATTTGGCCCTGTTACTATTGCTAATGGTGTCCTCTTTGCTGGCTCAACATTTAGAGAAGGACCCATATATGCAATTGATGCCAAGACAGGAAAAATTCTATGGCGGAATCACACTGGAGCCACCATTTTCGGTGGTGCTTCGGTGAGCGATGGATGTATATATTTTGGGCATGGATATAAGGTAAGCACTGGAACTGCAAATCCATTATTCACTAGAGGGAAATCACTGTTTGCATTTTGTGTCACTTAGTGCTTTTTTCCTTATGATGGAAATATTAGACAAGAACTGAACTGAATATGTACTTTGAGTTTATGTATGTTTATTTTCTTGTAATAATTTCTGTTGTCAAACTGATAATATTAATTTTATTTTTATCGTTATACTAGTTGTCCATCGGTAAGATGCACAGATTATTATATTATAAAAAAAAATATATGAAAACATCCATTATCAACACCACGTGATGCAAACAAAAAAAATAAATAAAGAAATATACAAAATAAATCATCATATAAATGAAAACATTTTCACAATTAAATTATTTAAAAAAAATTGTGAGCGTTAACATCTGACACCCACTTATTTCTCTCTTTTTCTCTCGTTCTAAACATAAGTAAAATTAAACATCATTTCATGCCTATAAACCTTTCCTCCCTCTACAATAGACTGAGGGAAAGTTGGGTGATTTGGGAAATCAGGATACCATTGAGTCTCCAAGCATAAACCTGCATGTTTCTTATACACAGCACCTCCTTTTCCTTTAACATCGTTGAGCTTATTTGCTGTATAAAATTGCAAGCCAGGTGCATTTGAATTTAAATCCATTCTAATTCCTGTTTTCTCATCCTGCAAATTGGCTACCATTCTCATTGGTGTCTTGGCGTCAGTATAAGCATCAAGAACATAATTAACGTCATAACCATTTGGAAGAAGAGTGATTCTTTTTCCAACAGGTTTAAGTTCATAATATTCTTCTGTAAAATCATAAGCAGTTCCTCTTGCATATAGAATTTGACCGGTAGGGATCAAATCATTATCAACAACTGTGTAGAACTGTCCTTTGATTTGGAGTTTCGAGTTTAAGATATCTCCACTGTTATGGCCAGCTAAATTCCAGTATGTGTGTTGAGCTAGACTCACTGGGGTTGGCTTTTTGTCTAGACTCTTGGCTTTCATTATTATGCTGAATTGGTTATCTGCAATGATCGAGTATGTAACTGTAGCTCGAATCGCTCCAGGAAAACCTGCGAAAAAATATTAAGAAGTAAGATTAGAAAATCTGAAGCTCTCTAGGGTTTGGCTAAACTTGCAAAATGACAATGGATTATCCTAACCTTGGTCACCGTCAGGGCTGTTATATGCAAATGAAATGGAAGGAGTAGGGCCATCTTTTTTGTTCTTGATAGCCTTCCAGAGAACTTTAGAAAATCCTTTTGGGCCACCATGAATGGTGTTTTTGCCTTCATTGGCAACCAGTTTATATACTTTTCCGTTCAGCTTGAATTGAGCGCCTCCAATTCTGTTAGCAACACGTCCTACGGTTGCTCCAAAATATTCAGTGTCTTTCTGGAAAAAAATTTTCAAGGTTGTGTTAACTGCAATCAGTAATGAAGAAAAGTTTAGGGAAATTTATTAAGACATTAAATAAAAATCCTGACCTCATACTCTGCAATGGTGTCATAACCGAGAACAACATCGACTGGCTTTCCTGTTAAATTTTTAAAAAGAAATGGCAAAAGGAAAATATAAGAACAACCAATTTGGCATTCAAAGACTTATTTAATGATCGACTGTCTGCCTTGAAATGTATAGGATCGAAGGATCAAATCCTAACAGACTCATCTCTTTCGAGTAATTCCCAAACCAAAAATAAAAGGAAATTCATAGAAATATTAATATAATAAAGAGAATAAAAAAATATACCAGTTTTGTCAGGAATAATCAAGGAGACAATAGTTGCACCCCAATTTGTGAGCTTCAAGGTAATATTTCCCTTTTTCAATTCAAAGAACTCGGCCTTAGCATTGGTAGAGGCAAATTCAAAGGCAACTAAAATGGAAAAACAAAATAAAAAGGTTATGTTTCTCATTTTTTTATTTTTTTTTATTTATTTTTTTTGGATTTTTATAATGATAATTATTGAAAAGAAGATGAAAGAAGGCTTGTTTCAATTGCTTCTCATGTCTCCACTATTTATACTTGGAGAAATGCTAAATATAGACATTGTTGAAGATCTGTTGAATAGGATAACTTGTTTTATTCATTTCACATATTATTTGTGGAGGAGATGACTGATTCTTTGGATCCCATTTTATTCACCGTCCTAACCGCTAAAAACTTCTGGTGAAAATAAATAATAAATAATAAATAAATATAATGTTTATAATTTAGCATTTCTCCAAGTATAAATAAGCAATTGAAAAAAGCCTTATTATCTTCTTTTCAATAATTATCATTGTAAAAATCCAAAAAGATAAAAATAAAAATAAAAATGAGAAAAATAACTTTGTTATTTCGTTTTTCCATTTTACTGGCCTTTGAATTTGTGACTAGCAATGGTGCTGGTGGAAAGGCTGAATTTTTTGAATTGATAATGGGAAATATGACCTTGAAGCTAACCAATTGGGGAGCAACTATTGTCTCCTTGGTTCTTCCTGATAGAACTGGTGTAGTTTATAATTCTCTTTATTTTATTTATGCTTCTTTGAATTTCCTTTTATTTTTTATTCGAAATATTCAAAAGAGATGAGTCTGTCAGGATTTTAACCTTTGATCTGCACATTTCAAAGCAAAACAGTCGTCACTAAATAATTCTTTAAATGCTAAATGGTTTTTCTTATATTTTTTTTTTCTGCCTTTTTTTAAATATTTAACAGGAAAGCCAGTGGATGTTGTTCTTGGTTATGACACAATCGAAGAGTATCAAGTTAGAAATTTTTTTTTTAATCTTTAGTAAATTATTTAGAAAATTGGCAAAAGTTTTTCCTTTTTTTAACTGATTGTAATTAACACAGCATTGAAATTATTATCCAGAAAGACACTGAATATTTTGGAGCAACAGTAGGACGTGTTGCTACCAGAATTGGAGGTGCTCAATTCAAGCTAAATGGATAAGTATATAAATTAGTTGCCAATGAAGGCAAAAAGAGTCCTCATGATGGCCCAAAAGGATTTTCTAAAGTTCTCTGGAAGGCAATGAAACACAAAAAAGATGGCCCTACCCCTTCCATTTCCTTTGTATATAACAGCCCTGACGGAGACCAAAGGTTAGCATAATTTATTACCATTTTGCAAGTTTAGCCAAACCCTAGAGAGCTTGAGATTTTCTAATCTTGTTTCTTAATATTTTTTTCGCAGGTTTTCCTGGCGCGATTCCAGCTACAGTTTCATACTCGATCATTGCAGATAACCAATTCAGCATGATAATGAAAGCCAAGAGTCAGGACAAGAAAGCAACCCCAGTGAGTCTAGCTCAACACACATCTGGAATTTAGCTGGACATAATAGTGGAGATATCTTAAACTCGAAACTCCAATCAAAGGACAGTTCTACACAGTTGTGGATACTGAATTGATTCCTACTGTTCAAACTCTATCTGCAAGAGGAACTGCATATGATTTTACAGAAGAATATTGTGAACTTAAACCTGTTGGAAAAAGAATCACTCTTCTTCCAAATGAGTATGACATTAATTATGTTATTGATGGTTATACTGACGCCAAGACACCAATGAGAATGGTAGCCAATTTGCAGGATGAGAAAACAGGAATTAGAATGGATTTAAATTCAAATGCGCCTGGATTGCAATTTTATACAGCAAATAAGCTCAACGATGTTAAAGGAAAAGGAGGTGCGGTGTATAAAAAACATGCAGGTTTATGTTTGGAGACGCAATGGTATCCTGATTTCCCTAATCACCCAGCTTTCCCTCAATCTATTGTGGAGGGAGGAAAGGTTTATAGGCATGAAATGATGTTTAATTTTACTTATGTTTAGAAAGAGAGAAAAAAAAAAAAAAGAGTATGTGAGATATTTTCCTACATACAATTTTTTTTTTTTAATAATTTAATTGTGAAAATGTTATCATTCTCATAATGAATGGGTTGAATTCTTAAATTAAGAATTATTTTTTTTAGGTCTTTGTTTGATGTATGTGTGAATTACGTTTTGAATGTAAGTGATCAGATAAACTGTATTTGTCGGATTGATCTGCAGTACCAATTTTTTTTTTTTTTTTTTTTTTTTTTTTTATTAACGAAATTATTTTTTTTAGGTCTTTTGTTTGATGTATGTGTTGAATTACGTTATTGAAATGTAAGTGATCAGATAAACTGTATTTGTCCGGATTTGATCTGCAGTACAATTATTTTTTTTTTTTTTTTTTTTTTTTTTTTTTTTTGGATTTGGCTACACTCACAACTATAATCCTGGAGATAATTTTGAGTATTGTTATTAAGATCAAGGGTTATGTGAAAAGATCCTGGAATCTTTACACGGGTTATATGAAAACATAGAAATTGAATGATATTTTATTTCATATTAACATAAATCTTGCAAATGATGGTCACTTGATTTAGTTAAGTAAATAAGTTTAAAGTGTTTTATTTAACCCCAAGGGGTGAGATAGAATAGCAGGGATCATTCTCCCTTAACCCTCTGGATATGAATTCCCTTCAAACATTCGAATGGAACGCTTTATCCCTTTTTTTGTGGGCTTACCCATTGTGAATCCGGATTAATCGGGTCGATGGGATTCAAACACCAAATAATTAAAAAAAAAAAGTGATTTATTTAAAATAAAAGAAGAAATGTGTCTGTGTTCCTAATCCTTGTGTGTCTGTATTGTGTTTGTGTATTTTTTGTCTAAGCAATTAAAAAAAAAAAAAAGAAGAATATATTAAAATCATGTACTACTTTACCAATGGGTATAAATTGAAAAGTTAACCATAATAATTTTACTTTTTTTTTCTTGGGAAAACGTAATCATAGCTTTATGTTTTGTGTGAAAAAAAAAAAACTTTACCCTTTATTTTTAAAAATAGATACCGTCGTATCTTCATATTTTTTTGTCTGTAATACTCTATATTTTTTCAGTTCATTTTTTACAACTTTAGACATTAAATTATTATGAAACCAACATCAATGACTCTAATTAAAAACTACAATTTGCAGCTCCATTTATGATCACCTCCATTTCCGATCACCTCCGCTCCTCTTCTCTCCGCTAATCCAACATTGCAGATAAGTTCTAAATAATAACTTCTTTCTCCTCTTAATTATATTACATTAGGTAATTGCTATTTTATCAAACTGTTCATGAAAAGCTATAGTTGCGGGTTTATATATGCCATTGTTGAAACAACTTCCATCTTTGGTTATATCAGTTATCGGCGGCAAAAAAAATTATGAATTGAAGCTCCTTGATGTGCTAAGCTAAACCCCTCATTCATGTTTAGGCAGATTCAATTAATCTGTTTTATTTCAAGGATTGATTTTTTTTTTTAAGTTTATTATATTATTCGTTACCCTTTTTCTTTAATATTTCATAGGAAAGCCAATTGACATAGTCCAGCGTTATGATACCTCCAGAATATCAGGTGAAATTTTTGTAATCTTTTAGTAAATTTTTTACCAAAAGGCAAAATTTTGATAAGTATATCAATTGCAATAAGGCTAAGCTTTTGCTTTTTTAAAGCTATTTTGTTTTGGAAATAGAACAAGTGCCCATTAGATATTTATTATTTATATACTCCTTACTCCAGCTTCTTGAATTTAAACTCGAATTGGTTCAAATCACATCAAATTGGTCTAAGCCGAATCTCACCCAAAATAGCATGATTGATCATTAATTTATACACTGCTCATCATTTTTAGAACCGTTCGATATTGAATCGATCAATTTTTCTTATTGAATAGTTCAATTTAATTGGTTCATGGATTCCAATTGTAAAAAAATGATTTAATAAAAATAGCTATTAAAATACTAATCTTGAATTTCTGAAGTTGGTAGATTGAATTTTGAACAACCTTAGATTTGATTGAATTATACATAATATTTTCTTAATTTGTGGGGTTCCCTTACACATTAACAGTTACTGTAATTTGTAAGGTACAAGGCTCCATGGAAATAATAAATCGAGTGTCTCAATGAAAGCCAGAAGCCTTGATAAAAAAAAAAAAAAAAAAAAACCTCAATGAAGCCAGAAGTCCTTGATATAAAAAAAAAAAAAAAAAAAAAAAAAAAAAAAAAAACCCAACTCCTATAAGCGTAGTTCAACACTCTTATTGGAATTTAGGTGCAACAATGGCGGAGATATTTTAGGAGAAAACCTTCAAATTTTGAGACAATATTACACACAAGTGAATAATAATTTAATTCCAAGTGACCAAATTCTAAATGTGAGTAGAGCTGCCTATGATTTTACTAAACCTGAACTTCAACCCATTGGAAAAGGAATTAACCAACTTTCTGAAGGTTAGACATAAATTATGTAGTTGATGGCGGAGAGGTTAAGAAGTCATCTAAAAATAGACGGAATATATAAATTTACTGCTAAACTTTGTTATTTTAATATTATAGTACCTTTAATTTTCATTTTGATCTCTCAAACACTTCAACTCAAAAAACTATATTGATAAAAAACTTCAATTTTTAAAATTATTTTATTGAACACTTCAACTTGTAAAATTAGATGAATTAAACCTTCATTAAAAATTTAAAAATTATGAAAATTATTATTTCAAAAGTCATGCTTTCAAAAATTGAACACTTCAACTTGTAAAATTAGATGAATTAAACCTTCATTAAAAATTTAAAAATTATGAAAATTATTATTTCAAAAGTCATGCTGACTATATATCAACTCGATATTTTTATTACTTGTTTGTTTTAATTTTTGATTTGTAAATTTTTTTTTTATTATCAAGTCATGCTTACTACACTTCGATTGATTCAAACAAATCAAAAATTATTTGGTTTAGTTTTTGATTTGTAAATTTTTTTTATTATTTTAAAAGAAGAAAATGTAATTTTTTTGTCAAAATTAAGTAATAATCATGAAAACAATATTTGAGTTCTAAACTGGTCGGAAAGTTAAAATTTCAAATTTAACATTTATTAAAAATTTAAGGACCAAGTTGAACTTTTATTCTTTAAAAATA